GCCAACAACATTCAGTACCGACGCCCGCCACGGTACAATCTGGAGCGACTGAAGCTGCCCGAAGTCGCAATTGAGTACGTGCAATGCGCGTATGATGACCGGATGATGGAGAGCTCACCGAAGCCCCTCTTGAGGACTGCTGGAGCAACGTGAAAGCAGCCATTAATAGCGCTGCTGGAGGCGCCGTTGGGTTCGTGGAGCGGAATCGACGGAACGATTGGTTCAACGAGGAGTGTCAGACGGTTTTGGACGAGAAGAACGCAGGGCGGGCGGCGGCGTTGATGCAGCAAGGAACCCGTCATAATGTGAAGCGATATAGACAGAAGCAAAGGCAGCAAACCCATCTTTTCCGGGATAAGAAGCGCAACTAGATAAGAAGCGCAACTAGATAAGAAGCAACTGTATCGTTCTCAAGAAACACGCAAGTTCTACAAGAAACTCAACGCATCCCGCCAAGGCTTTGTGCCGCGAGCCGAAAGGTGGAAGCAGCACTACGATGAACATCTGAACGGCGCAGAAGCGGAGGACCAAGGCGGTAGGAGGAATGGCTTCATTGGTACAGCGGACATCCCACGATAGGTGAAGTTAAGGATGCTATTCGACAGCTTAAGAAAAATAAAACTGCTGGGAAAGATGGTATCGGAGCGGAACTTATCAAAATGGGCCCGGATAAGTTGGCCACTTGTCTGCACCGACTGATAGTCAGGATCTGGGATACAGAACAGCTACCGGAGGAGTGGAAAGAGGAAGGGCATATTACTTTTTTAAGTATATAAAAAAGGCGACAAACTAGAATGTGAGAACTACTGAGCGATCACTATTCTTAACGCGGCCTACAAAGTGCTTTCCCAGATCATCTTTCGCCGTTTATCGCCGCTAGCAAGCAGATTTGTGGGAAGTTATCAAGCCGGTTTTGTGGACGGGCGATCGACAACGGACCAAATCTTTACGTTGCGGCAGATCCTCCAAAAGTGTCGTGAATATCAAGTCGCTACGCACCACCTATTCATCGATTTCATCGATAGCTATGGAAGATTATGGACGAGAACGGTTTTCCCGGGAAGCTGACCAGACTGATCAGGGCTACGATGGATGGTGTACAGTGCTGCGTGAAGATATCGGGTGCGTTATCGGATTCGTTTGATAACGAGAAGAAAAGAAATATCGATGCTACAGTTTTGCATGTTAGATAGATTAGATTAGATACTTAGAGATAATCTCTCCCGCCGAGACGTTCTTGCTCCTTATATACATACAGCTGACGACCGATCGCTACCGATCGAGTCAGCTGTGTGGCAATAGACAGATAGAAAAATATGAGTTACAATAAACCGTCGCGGAGGAAACATCTCCATAGTAATTTCGTCCTGTAATAAATGTATTTTTGTGTTCGCGTAATAAAGGTGTTTGTATGTAAACCGCGAGTTTTCCATGTGTCCGAAAGATTTCCCGCGACGGGCGCGAACATTTGTTTGCTTCTACTTTCGATTGGCGATGACCTTTCGCACTAGGTTCCGGGCGTTTGTTGGCCAGAACCGCTCTCTAACGGACGAAACCATGAGCTGTTGTCCACCATGCACCATCTTTCGATGGTAGTGAACGACGACCATGTACGTAAATGGATGACGGTGATCCAGAATATATGGGTGCTTGCGACGGGTCGCAATCGATGCGTGGCGAAGTCGGCCGCCAACGCAGAGTATTCCGTCTTTGAGCTCCGGGTGTAGTGACAAAATCTTCGACGACTCTCGAACTTCTCTACCGTTTGTCATATAAGCTAACTCCAGCGAGAAGCTTTCTTGTTGGGAGAGCTTGACCAACGCATGCAAAGCATCTTCCAGTTCGAGCGTTGTGAGAGGACCACACCGTCGATTGTCACGGTTCGCCGGTTGCGAATTGTAGCGGAATCTGTGAAGCCAAGCAGTCAGTCGTACGAGATGTGTATACGATGATCTGAGGCTGAAGATATCGCTTGGAGTTACCACTGGAAGTGCTGTCGCCATGCTCTTGGCTTCGAGATCCAAGGGATCGAAGACTTCTTCATCTATCTGATGAGCAGATGGCCACTTGTGCTCGTCCAACTTTAGCCAATGCGGACCGTTGAACCAAAGCGATTCATATTGTAGCTGCACTGGGATCATTCCACGGGAAATTATGTCAGCTGGATTCTCTAGTCCAGCTACGTGGTTCCAAACGCCTTGTTTCGTGATGTGCTGAATCTCCGAAACCCTATTTGCTACAAACTGCTTCCATCTTGACGGTGACGAAGAAATCCAACACTTGACAATCGTGGAGTCCGTCCAGAAAAAGCATTTCGCGTTGATGCCGAGACTGCTTGTGACCTTCTCGTAAAGGTGTGCCAACAACAAGGCTGACGACAGTTCTAGGCGTGGAGTGGAGAGTCGCTTGTTTCCTTTCTTCAAGTTGTCAAGCGGTGCAACGCGTGACTTCGCTGTTAACAACCTCACACTCGCAAAGGAGGACTTCGACAAGGCGATGGTCTTTCCTGCCTCCTGTTCAACATTGCGCTAGAAGGTGTTATGAAACGTGCGGGCTTTAACATGCGGGGCACGATATTCAATAACTCCAGCCAGTGCATCTGCTTCGCTGACGACGTGGACATTGTCGGAAGAACGTTTCAGACCGTGGCGGAGCAGTACACTAGGTTGAAAAGTGAAACAGAGAAGGTTGGATTAAAGGTGAATACGTCGAAGACAAAGTATCTGTTAGCTGGAGGAACCGAGAGGGATAGGGCTCGCATAGGCAGAAGCGTGACAATCGACGGAGATGAGTTCGAGGTGGTGGATGAATTTGTGTACCTCGGATCATTGGTGACGTCGGATAACAACTGCAGCAGAGAAATTCGTTGGCGTATTATTGCCGGAAGTCATGCTTACTACGGACTCCACAAGACCCTGAGGTCGGGTAAACTTCACCTCCGTACTAAATGTACCATGTACAAGACGCTGATAAGACCGGTAGTTCTCTACGGGCACGAGACGTGGACGATGCTCGAGGAGGACCTGCAAGCACTGGGTGTTTTCGAACGACGAGTGCTTAGGACCATCTTTGGAGGGGTATGTGAGAACCGTGTATGGAGGCGAAGGATGACCCACGAGCTGGCACAACTCTATGGCGAACCCTATCTATCCCCAGAAAGTTGCGAAAGCTGGACGGGTACGATGGGCGGGACACGTTTTAAGAATGCCGGACAACAATCCCACAAAAATTCTGTTTGCCTCGAATCCGGCCGGTACAAGACAAAGAGGAGCACAGCGAGCAAGGTGGTTAGACCAAGTTGAACAGGATCTTGGAAGTGTGGGACGGTCAAGAAATTGGAGACAAGCAGCCACGGATCGAGTGAATTGGCGTAACATTGTGATTCAAGTGCAATCCTGAGGGATGTCGAACCAGGATAAGTAAGTTATATAAAACTAATTCACTTTTTGCACTAGTGGGCTCGATAGTTACTTGGGATGTGACGACATTTCATCGATCTCGATTGAACATTTTTTCTAGATACACCGGGCATCTCTGGTTGCAAGACAAAATTGAAAGTTGATCAATAGGTTAAAGTAAAATCAAAGCGTTTTGATTTAAGGCGGGCGGAGTCTAATGCAGCCCATCAACACTTCAACCTGGTTGTAAACTTAATTTTTCGACTGGTTGTTGGATCTCCTTTCAACATATTCGTCAACCAACCAAACATTTTGCAACTGCATCAAACACAACCCAATTTGCTATTCGCCTAGTGCGTCAACCCATTTAAAATACACGCGATGTTTCTGCAACTTCCTCATACCCACAACCTCTAGTCCTATATCAATCAAGAAAATTCAAAAACTTCGAAAAAATCAAAGAGCTTTTAGTTATTGATTAAAAAAATTGGTGTGCTATTTGATTTCAATACCATTATGTGAATTTAAATTTTTACGTCAAAATAATATCAACGAGTATTGAAACATGAAAGTCGAGATAAACTAAATTTGGCTATTTCAGAGCATTCCATATTTTACATTTTAACTGGACCAGATTTTGATAAAACTGATCTGGTAACGCCGATCATGTTTGACAATATTCCGAGCCCATTAGTCATAGTAACGGCAAATGACTGTTTATCTTCGCTGCCTACCAACATCTTACGATCAGATCCAATCGTAAACGCAAACAAGCTGCTAACAATGTTGATTGAATTATCCATTAGAACTGCAACAGTATTCTTTTTTCCCACAACCCAACTAATGCGACAATATCCACTTAACAATTACCCACGGCATCATCAGCAGCAGCAACAGCAACACCGCTGTGATTAATAGTCCCATCATCCGATACGGTTGGGTGTTGAAGCAAAACCAACCCAAAAGAAGTGCATTGGTACCCATGGTTACATGAGCTGCTTACATCGAGCACTTCATTTGCAACTCAAGCATTCGTCCGGCCGGCCATGGCATTCGCTTTTTGTTTTATCAGCGATCGCACCGATCCACCCATTTTGCTTACTTACTTACTTACAAACTTACTATGTACAGTCTATGATCCTACTACGCGGGTAATTGGCAGTTGGGCTAAATTCTACACCAGCTTTTGAAGTTCTGCAGCTTGAAACGAACTAGCTCAAGCCCTGTAAGATATTCGGGGGGAACTTTTCCGCGCAGTGGGATTCTTGACTGCACGTTTCCACTGAATGTCTTTTTAGCAATATCCACTAACTTCGAACCCAAAGGGTATACCTACTAGGCACAGCAAGTGATCTTCAAGGCCCCCGTTAAAACTCGAAACAAGCTTGCATCGATATCACAGCAGCCAAGTCAATGCAGCGGCACCGGTCGGTTGTTTGGCTACAAAACTAATCGATCGTCTAATCCGCGGAATGGAGCTTGCCTCGTTCCCAATTAAACATCTTCCAACTTGCTCCTCTCCTGAAATATTCAATTCAAAGTGACGAAATCGCGAATTGATCAACTACTAAATTTGTATGCATGAATTTTTTCTCTTCACAGCAATCCTACTCCGTATGGTGAAGACGACCCGCAGATCGGACTTCGTTGGCCTTGTGTCATTCCGCACACGATCAACGACCTGCCCTACCTGGAGATCACGTCCAATCTGGCGGCTCGCAACAATCCGCAAGCGGACCGGCTTCGCTTCTGGGACGAGACGTATGCAAAGTACAATGGTGACATATTTTAGGGCAGCCCACCGCAAGGGATATGTGGTAAGAGAGTAGGTAAGTACCTAACAAATAGTAGAACAAGCAAACGAGCAGCTCAAGTTAGTTAGAGTAAGCAGTTCAAAACACTAGCTCAAAGCCATAAAAGAAGGTGAGTAGCTACGTGTGTATTATTGTATGCTTTCTGGCGCATTCGCGCCCCATTACCGCTTTGCTGCCCACGATAGTTCCCTTGATTCTCAACGGAACGGACAGACCTCAGAGCGACTTTCTGTTGTAAATTAGTTTATGTCCGTATTTAGTACGTTACTTCTATTAATGTTGAGTTGTTTCGAAAATAGTTTTAGGCGCAACCCAATTCGACTGACTGACTGACGAAAAAGAAAAGATGTTTAATATATGTTACTATTGAAAAGTTTTGCGTTTTTGTGATTGTTCCGAAAAGAGTCCTTTTTCAGTGATGCGAATGATGAATTTCATCCAAAAACGTTGACACTACTCTCACCGATTCCAATGAAACATTGTGGGCGTAAAGACTTTGCCTACTTAAGCAAATTGAAATACTGCTTTTTTTTTAGTTCAGTTTCGAACCCCTTTCGGATACGGTTGTGTTTTAAGTTTGCTCTCTGTTGCGTTCGCTTTCATAGTTTTCGGCTGCATTTTTGCATTTTTGCGCTGGCACTCTGTCTCCTAGATGGATATACGTGTGTGATTGGTGGTTTTCTCGCTTTCCGGGAAGTTTTAGAAGCGAGGAAGAAAACGTGATTCATCATGTTTGTAAGCATCAGAAGGGATGTCACTATCTGCGTTGTTTGACTTTTTTCACCCAGACCAGAAATTTGTAGCATCGCGAGTGATAATTTTGTAACTGTTCGTTTTTCCCGGCAAGTTCAGTAGCAAGAGACCCCTCGAGGTTTGCTTTCGCGAGAGTGACGTTTATTTTCATTGCCTCCCAGGAGGCCGATTCACACCGTATTCGGATGTCACGCTTTCGGCGTGTAGTTCTATAGAGAGTCTCGTCACAATGTGCGAGTTTGAACATGGTCCGGTTGGTTAATTAGCCGGGGAAAGTGCTGATAATGTGTCCGCCGCGAGTTTTGGTGGTGATTCGGTGGCCGACGATGCCGTGAATCAGCGAGTATGGCTTGCAAAAGTGCTCGTCTGCTGGTCTCTCGGTCGGAGATTGTGAGCAAGCTGAAGGATGCCTCGCTGGATACGCCCAAGACTGGACGGGCGCTAGCTGGTGGCCGTGAACGGTTCCTGGGGAAAGCACTAGACGCGAACATCAAGAAAATTTGTTTTAGTTGAAGGAAGTATTACAACAAATTTCAAGAAAATATAGAGAATTTCAAAGGAGATAATAGATTTTTAGAAAGCTTCATTATATTTAGGGAAGATCCGAATACTTCGAGGATGATCAGAGGACTTCACAGCAGTCCCATGAACTTCAGGAAAATTGCAAAAAAATTTAAGGAGTTCCGAGGAATTACGTAATATTTTGAGAGTTTCAGAAATGTTGCGCAAATTTCAGGGGCATTGAGGGATCTTCTGGGAAGTTATATGAATATCAACATAATTTCCGGATCATTTGAACATTTAGGGACCTTAAGGGAAGCACCGAAAACTTCAGGAAAGTCCATAAAAGTTGAGGGAAGGTTAGAGGAAAATTACGCTAGCTTCAACAAAATTAAGGAAACTTCAGGAAAATTAAGGAAACTTCATGACAGTTCAAATAACTTCAGAAGAATAGTGAGAACTTTTATAAAATGCTTTTTGGTAAGTCTAGAGAACTTTCAAAGTTGGGGGAAGATTAGGGGAAAGTTACGCTAGATTCAACAAAATTAAGGGCACCTCGAGGAAGATCTTGGGACTTCATGGCAGTTCAATTAACTGCAGAAGAATAGTGGGATCATTTATAAAATGCTACAGAACTACAAAGAAGTTACAATAACATCAGGAAAACACGTAAAACAAAAGTCTAGTCTGTTGGGGATGTTCTAAGATGTTGAAGAATTAGATCCGATAATTTATGGGCAGTTCCATACATTTCAGGACAATTTAGAGATTATTAAAAAAAAATTAGGGAACTTCAGCACCAACAACTTCAGGGAAGTCCAAAAAAGTTGGGAGAAGATTAGGGGAAAGCTACGCTAGGTTCAACAAAATTAAGGAAACTTCGAGGAGGATCATGGAACTTCATGGCAGTTCAATTAACTTCAGAAGAATAGTGGGAACTTTTATTTTGCTGTGATGTCTAGAGAAATGTAAAGAAGTTCAGAGATGTTTCGGGCAGATCAAATAATATCAGGAAAACGCGTAACACTTCTGGAACGTTTAGCCTTTGGAATTTGATCCGATAATTTATGGGCAGTTCCATGGAAAATTTTGAGGGAACCTTAAAGAAGTTCAAATAACTCCAGTGAAGTTATGAATTTTCCAGCAATGTTCGAGAACACAGGAGTTCAGAGAACTTCAGGAACTTCATAGAAGTTCAGAAAATTATAGGGGATATCCGAGAACTTCCGGGAAACTCTGAGATCTTCAAGCTCAACGTGAACATCAGAAAGCTACACCGAAGTTCAGAGGTTATCAATGAAGTTTAGGAACTCTTACGACTGCTCCATTAAGTCCATGGCAGTACTAAGAGCTTCAAAAGAAGTTCAAGAATTTTAGGAAAGTTCCGAGAACTTCAGGGAAGATTATAGAATCTTAGGACAGTTGCATTAGCTTCGGAGAGATAACAGACATTTTAAAGAAGTGATGGATTAAATAGGAACTTCCTGAAATAAAAAAAAAATGTGGAAACTTTTGGGAAGGCCAAAGTAGCTCATAAAAATCTAAATATTTTAATTGAAGTTCCGTGAGCATCCTGGTAAAGGGTGATACGGTCAAAATTTGGTCAAGGGAAAACGCGTGTAAATCGGTGAAATCGTTTATTTAAAAAATCAAATTAAATTTCTTTTTCAAGTTCAATTAGTATAAAATTCAGGAAAAATATTCAGTTAGGCTTCCGCTTTTCCAAATCCGAATTGCCGGGCCTTACGCTTGACCCCTGCCATCAGATTTTGTACAGCCACCTTGTCCACCTTCTTCGCCGCAGAAAGCCAGTTTGCCTTGAACTGCTGCTCGCCCTTAGCAGTTTTTTTGGTCTTCTTTAGGTTCCGCTTGACAATAGCCCAGTATTTCTCAATTGGGCGGAGCTCTGGCGTGTTGGGAGGGTCTTGTCCTTGGGAACCACCTGCACGTTGTTGGCGGCGTACCACTCCATGGCCTTTTTACCGTAATGGCAAGATGCCAAATCCGGCCAAAACAGTACGGAACAACCGTGTTTCTTCAGGAAAGGCAGCAGACGTTTATTCAAACACTCTTTCACGTAAATTTCTTGGTTGACAGTCCCGGAAGCTATGAAAATGCTGCTTTTCAAGCCACAGGTACAGATGGCTTGCCAAACCAGATATTTCTTTGCGAACTTTGACAGTTTCATGTGCTTGAAAACATCTGCTACCTTTCCCCTTCCTTTTGCCGTATAAAACTCCTGTCCCGGAAGCTGCTTGTAGTCGGCTTTGACGTAGGTTTCGTCGTCCATTACCACGCAGTCAAACTTCGTCAGCATCGTCGTGTACAGCCTCCGGGATCGCGCTTTGGCCGTCGTATTTTGTTTATCATCGCGATTTGGAGTCACTACCTTCTTGTAAGTCGATAGTCCGGCTCGTTTTTTGGCTCGATGCACGGTTGTAGACGATACACCCAGCTTATTTGCGGCATCTCGGAGAGAGAGGTTAGGGTTTCGCTTGAAACTACCGGCAACTCTCTTTGTCGTCTCAGCGGCTTCCGGTTTTCGATTTCCCCCCGATCCAGACATCCTGGCTGTCGACAAACGTTCCCCAAACACTTTAATTACATTTGTAACGGTTGATTTGGCAACTTTTAGCGATTTTGCCAACTTTGCGTGCGAGTAGCTCGGATTTTCGCGATGCGCGAGTAAAATTTTGATACGCTGCTCTTCTTGCTTGGACGGCATTTTGACAACTGAAGAGTGAATTCCAAAATCAAAATAGGAGCAACATTCTACACACACACACCTTCAAAATGAGGGGTGTTCAGGTTTTTTAAATGCAAAATTGAAAGAAATACGTCAAGTTGATATTGACCAAATTTTGACCGTATCACCCTTTAGGTTCAAAAACATCAAAATGACAAAAGTGGTGCAGACCAGTAAGGAGATGCTTTCATGAATGGTTCAAAACGTTGGTTCTGGTAGGCATACGGTTTCAGAATCAGTTTGTGACCGGACCAACAAACAAATACAAAAAAAGAAGCACACAATCATCAAAAACAAAACACTGGACTTCAGAGAAATTTAGCAAACTTTAGAGAAGCTCAAGGAACTTCAATGTAATTTATAAAAGATCAGAAAGACTCGCGGTACACCTATGCGAAGTTTAGGAGAACTTCAGTGAGTGTTCAAGAACTTCATATACCCAACAAACAATTCGAGCTGATTAAAGGCTGAACAAGCTATTTTTTTAGCTGAAGAAGCATATAAGCTGAATAAGCTCTTATGCTGCTTCCAATGTTTGATGGGAAGGCTCTTCGGAGACGAAACTTAGGGCAATAGTAGAGAAGTTCAAATCAACCATAGAGTAGTTAAGGGTTCGTCAAAAAGGTTTGGAAAACTTTGAAAATGATTAGGAAATCTTCAAAATGCATTGTAAACCTTTATTGAGATAGAAAAAAATTTACAGGAAATGAAGGGAACTTCAGTTGTTTATAGATGAGAGATCAGAGAACCTAAACAAAATACAAGGAACATCAAAAATGCATAGTAATGTTACTTCGTGAATGATCAGAAAATTCTAAAAAAAAGTTCAAGATATTCTCAGGGAGGTTCACAGCCAGCGTTTTAATCGATAACCATCGATAACGTGCAATATTGAAATTTCCTTAACATTCCTAGAAAATTTTACATTTCCAGGTAAAAAATGAGCCCAATGCACTAAAAAAGTTTCATTACATGTTCAAATTAAGATCCGAGTGAACTTGGGAGGATTGTCTTTCAAATTTGTCGTAAAGGCCCAAGTGGTAGCGGTGGCGAAACAGCCGCGGCAGGAAATTGCCCGATCTGAGTAAGCCTACTTTGTCTGATGGAAAACATTTTAGAACCAAATTGTCTTCAATAAGTGGAACGGAAACGGCAAGTTTGACAGATGTCACAAATGTCTAATTATTAGACATTTGTGACATCTGTCAAACTTGCCGTTTCCGTTCCACTTCCGCCCACATTTCGTTTGAGCCTCAACGCAGGTTTCCGGTTTTCGTCGATCTGATTCGAGCCACTCTAAATGCAGCACAACAACAACAACAAACCTTTCTTTTAATCGCTTTATCCATGTCGTCTAAAGCTCCCTTAGCTTGCCCCCTAGCCTTTTACACCTATTAACGGCAATTTCGGATAAAATAAACGTCCTCCCACTTTGGATTCCGCATTCGAATTTACTACTTCCTCTGATACTGCTGGTACAGTTTCAACAGGAAAATCGTCTCATCGATCCCAATTTCCGCGCTGTACAAACTCTTCACCCGAATTTTCACCTTCTGCAGAATCTCCTTCTCCGGCGGTGTCAACGTTTCCTGTATCTCCGCAATGTAGTCCGCCGATTCGCCACGGTCCTTCATCGCTTCCACAATGCTTTCCAACCGTTGGCTTTTCTCGATCAACCGCTTGTTGACCGTCTTGTCGTGCGTCGATCGTGTAATGGAATTATACAACGATTTGTAGCAAATCTCCAACAACATCGCAACAATTTGCGTTTGATTTACGTAGAACAAAAAGAACGACTTGGGTGCCCCGGCGTTTCCTCCGCCCGCCTTGCGGAATGTCTGAATCTGGAGGAAGTTCTCCTCCAGCAGCTTGTAGGTGAGTTGCTTCGCTTCCTTGGCCGGAATCATCGCTTCCTTTTGGATGTCTTCCTGTTCGATGTACTTCTTCAGCCGGGTCACCCGAAAGATTCGGGCCGCCTTCGAGCCGTACTTTTCGGTGATGACGTTTTCGATGCAACTCCACGTGAGTTGTTCGAAAATTTTCTTCATATTGAGCGTGTACTGACCGCCACCGGTGTCACCGAATTTGCTGACAAAGTTGACCGACTCGATAACGGCAACGTACTGGTCTAGGAATTTGATCATCTCCAGATTGTTGGACTTTTTCTCGCAGAGTTGCTTTAGTTCTACCATTGGAATGGGGTTGGAGACCATTTCCCACGGTTTGGTTCGGGTGTACATTAGCTGAAGGAGATACTGGAGGCATTCTCCCGCAGTGGTATCGATCAGTCGTTCGATGGCGCTGGTCATGATCGTATCGCGGAAATCCAGGTGGAACTTTTCAAGATTTACGAGCCAGTGAATGCCTTCGTCGGGTGCTTTGGTGGTTTTGCCTTCCTGGAGGTCCAGCAGCATCCGAAGATCTAATTCTGGCATCTGAAAGAGATTCGGACTGTCGTAGTCCAGCATCACCACTTCGCTGCCCGTGTCGAGCGGTTTCGGTTCCGGTGCTCTAATGAAGTAGTTTTTCGCAACCAAATCGGTAAACTTCTCCCGGAACTTGGTAATGGTGTTCTTGTCCTTCACGTCGGCTATGGCCGTAGCCTTTAGGATGACGTAGGACGCCGTTTGGCATCCGGCTCGCAGCAGTTCCTCGGTTAAGGTGGCCGATTCCTGTCCGTACTTGGTTTGCATCAGATGCCAATAGCGAGGATACCGCAGCACCATCAGCACCTTCTCGTAGTCCAGAATGTACTCCGTGCCCGTACCGGCCTTGTTGGGTTGGTAGCGTGCTAGACCGAATTTCATCAGAATGGCCAGCGCTTTGCAGACCTAACGGATTTCGTGAAGGCATTGTGAGGTAAAATTCCATCAGGACTGTTGTAGGGTAACTGATTTTAGTTGGACTTATCCCATGATTCATCATCATGGTTGGACCTATTTTTAAAAGTGCTGGTTTAGTCAATCTGTGCCAACGAACTGTTTGCTAAGAGCTCATGAATATGATCAAAATGCGTTTTTTATTTCATGGTGCACATTTATTTTATGGGAATTTTAGCATGCACTTACTTCGTGTCCTATTATTTCAATTGTTTGAAGCAAGTCCCAGCGTTAAAATAGCAACTTCTTGATGTGGCCTCTTTAAGAGATGTTCCGAATTTTCTGAAAGGCCCGTTTGTGGTAATTTCAAGGTCCACATGCAGTCAAAAATCATCAATATTAATTAATTTATCACGAGCTCTTTTGATAATATATAAATTGAAGCTTTTAAAACTCTTTTTGAAAAGGGCCAATTTTCAAGGACGCTCCGCACATTTCAGAATAGAATATGTGCATATAATCAAGGAAAACCTGAAGTGGTGTTCCGTTGAAAATCTTAATTATGTGTGAAATACCACATTTAAAAGAAAACAGAGGAAATCTGCAATGTTTAGTTCAAGAATGTACACGTCCACTTTAAAAAAAAGGTACTTCACAGCAATGCATTTAGACGTAGTGTGAAAATGCCCTAAATAGGTCCAACCAAAGTCATTTACCCTACATATAGCTTCTTACCTCGGACTTGGTTAGCCCGGTGCTTTTGATGATCATCGGCAAGGTCTTTGCCACGGCGGAGAACAGGTCGTCCGCTACCATTCGAACCACCTCGCCAAAGTGCTGCTGCACTATGCAGGAGCACAACTTGCCCAGCTGGATGGACATTTCGCTCCGTAAATTTCAACGTAAAATAACGAAATTTTAGCAATAATCAACACAACACGTTTTTAACACTGCTGGCGGACGTGTTTACTGTTTTTATTTTCTTCTCTCTTTTGACGTTTCTCGAGAAAACAAAAACCGGTGACGGTACACTGAACCAAATTGTCCATACATCAATGTATGATTATTGCTTCACTTGAGCCCCATACGGATTATTTTTCTATTTGTGAAAGATTATCATTCTCTGATTCAGCTCTCAAAGCACAGAAGAACTGAATAGCATTAATTCTAAAACAGGATGATTTTCGTTCTGCACGCTGTAAACCATTAGCATGATTATCATCCATTCTTAGGAAGACTTGAAATGAACAAACCGTATGATTAACATTGAGATAGATACGGACTCGTCATACAGTTTCAAAATAAATTGTCATGCAACGTTTAAATGAAATATAAGTGCAATCTGAATGAAAAATTTATGGAAGCAGAAAGCTTATTTTACTGTTTAAAAATTGTGATCATAACGAAATATATCTCTTCTAAATTGTTGGAACTGTTAATTAATGTTGTAAATGAAACACTTCTGTTTTATAAGCTGCACAATTGTTTTATTCATTTATTTGTTTTATCTACACTAAATGCTGCACTGGGCCGGCCTCGCCCCTGGCGTCCCCATCGAACAGTGGATTCGCCGGTTCGGACTCGTCATTCACGGAATCGAACCCAATCACGTTCTGTAGGAACTTGTGCAATTTAGGATGTTGGCTCGGGTTGTTTGTGGCCTCAAAAAGCAGTTTGAAAATGTTGTCCAAAATCTGCTAAACGAGCTCATCAGCTGGTTGGTCTTGAAGATATCACTGGAAGATAAATTTGTTTTGTTAGAATCGTATTGCTTGAAACCAAGGACCTCCCTCCCAGTAACTTACTGAAGTCTAGGAATTTGAATCAACCAGCGGATGTTGTTTTGATTACACGTTTCTGTCGATGGCCACTTGGCCAGTTTGTAAAACTCCACTCGTTCGGCGACTTGCCGTAGTACGAAAGAGGCAGTTCGGCGTTTTGGTACTTGCTTTCCTCAAAGTCGCTGACCACCTCCTCGAGGGGGGGCTGGATCGCGAACAATCCACGGGCACTGAAGCATTCGAATCAAACGGGAACGGAACGAGTAGATATTTTTTTGCCACATGAATCCGAAAACTTTTTTCTCGTTCGCTTTTTGGTGACACTCCGCGTGGTATGCGAAAAAACTGTGTACTGCTATTCGAGAGAGACGCAACAAACTGCAAAAAAATGGTAAGGCCAAAACGCAATAGGAGACTGAAACGATATGAAAATGAATCGTATGACAGTTGTTGTATGATTTTCGTTATGGGGTTCACTTGGATGATTTTAGTTCATTTTTGTTCTTGAATTCATTTATTGTTAATACCTTTCAAAATTTGAACGGTACTTCATTAAGTGGTTGATGTTATTTCCTTTTATGATATGTATGAGGAATCATCCCATTTAATGTCAATTATCAGTCAATCGGGTATCTCATATTATTTTCGATGTTAAAGAAATCGGATAGCTCTGAATGATTAATCATGCAATGACGACATGGTAAATTCGCTCAGTGTAGTGAGTGCATCATCTAAATGTGAGTGCCCCACATAAACAAAACAGCCGTAAATCGCAAAACTGACCAACATGCACACTGAGTGCCTAACTCATGACAGCGGTTTGTTTTGTTCTTTGATTCTGATTCTCTCGATTTTCCACCCTCAGGCGTACGTGGATTCGTGGCTGACGCGCAGTGCAGTGCAGTAATTAAAAGTGTTGATGCCTAATGGATCTCCTAAGCTTTTAATTTTTGATTTATTTGAAGTCTCACAATCTTAACAAGTCAACAAACAAATTTGTTTGAGCAACTCTGACGTCATGTATCAACCACTGGAAACCGACAAGGAGAACCTATTCAAAAAGTACCTTCGGATACTAGCGGTGGTTGCCGCATACTGGTAGGTACTTCCTAAGAACATAAAAACATCTTACGAATGTTACAGAACACTGCCATCAATTTCCAGGGTTATATCCATACTGACCGTATTCGTCAACAAAGCTCTGCTAAGTGGTTTGGATCTGGACGCACCACTTTTTGTAACATGGTTCCAGGTGTTGACCTCGTCCAGTATCTGCTTTGTAATGAGTTCACTAAGTAAACGGTTCCCAAGGATGTTCAATGTTCCTTCTGGAAATCCACTGGACAAGGAGGTATTCCGCAAGGTACTGCCACTGTCACTGCTGTTTACGGCGATGATCGCCACGAATAATCTTTGCCTGAAGTACGTCGGTGTGGCATTCTACTATGTAGGGCGCTCGCTGACAACGGTGTTCAACGTCGTTCTGACCTATCTGCTGCTGGGACAAAAGACCAGCGGTAACGCGGTGCTGTGCTGTTTGCTCATCGTCGTCGGATTTTGGATCGGAGTCGATCAGGAGAGTTTGACGGAATCGTTTTCGCTCATTGGAACAATCTTCGGTGTGCTCGGTTCTCTGAGTCTGTCACTGTATTCGATCTACACCAAGAGGACCTTGCAGTTTGTCAACCAGGAAGTATGGCTGCTGAGCTATTACAATAATGTTTACTCGGCTGTTATCTTCATTCCGTTGATGCTGATCAACGGGGAGCTACCGGTGGTTATGAATTACGAACACCTCGCAGAACCGTGGTTCTGGGGCGTGATGAGCATCGGTGGTGTTTGTGGCTTTGCGATCGGTTTCGTAACGGCTCTCCAGATAAAGGTAACGTCACCGTTGACGCACAACATTTCCGGAACGGCTAAAGCGTGCGCTCAAACCATACTGGCTACGACCTGGTTCAGCGAAGTCAAATCATTCCTCTGGTGGACATCCAATATCGTAGTGCTGGTCGGAAGTGCGTTCTACACTCGGGTAAAACAGCTTGAAATGAATCAAAGTCATCGAGCACAAATGAACAGCCAAAAAGTTTGAACAAATCATATGTAATTCCTATCTTAATGAGAACAAACTAATGTGTGTAATAAATCCTAATTTTATTCGGAACAACCTCAAATGAGTGCTTTCACTTTGGATTGCAGGATAAACTCGTTGTGGCCTTTATTCTGCTGCCACAGTTCGATTGCCTTGTTCACTATCAGGTCGGCCGTTTCCTGTTCATCGTTGATCTGCAAGAAAATAAACATAAAAGCTAAATCCCACCATAGAACCCCCACCCCTACTAGAAAAACTTACGCTCTCTATACACTCCAGCAGAGATTTCATATCCATGCACCGGAGGACTCTCCTCCGAAGAGTGCGCAATATTTCAATCAACACGAATATCACAATCTTGATCGAACCTCCGCAGATTTTGTCCCATATCCGGATGATGGCCAGCTCTGATAGAACACCAGCAAAGAAGGAACCATACCATTTCTCCAGCGGCAGAACGGGCAGTATATCGCAAGACTTCAAATGTATGTACAGACCGTTGTCTTCCTTCTCCAAAATCGTGCCGGTCAAATCGGACAGCTTGCCCATTTCTTCGAGAATTTCCTGACTGTACTCGTTGAATCCTTTGGCCATCCAGTAGATTTCGATGTCGTTCTCGAAGATTTGCAGCAGCACTTCGGTGATGTTGCAAAAGTGGCTTTCTAGCTGTTGATTGGAAAACAAAATATAGTTGCTGGTGATGCTTCAAGGAACATGACATTCTTACATTCAGATCGTATCCGAGGCAGAGCTGTTTGGTCTCCAGCAGCCACATGGCATAGAGAACGCGTGGCTTCGGCGTTTTGTCATCGACGATTCGCATCACCTGCAGGGCACGCAGAAGGTCCTCGTACACTGCCTCCCGTTGGGTCATTACGTATTTGCACGAATCCGTGTAGGCCGGTGTAACACCTATGCAAGAACAACAAATCAAATCAAGTGGTTTTGATGATTCCCTGACTGATCTCACCGAGCAGAAAACTCCACAGCACATTCCGGTGGATGTTGGGTACGGTGAAACGGATGCAGAACTGCTTCAACTTGAGCACATTCAGGGGTTTATCCTTTAGTAGTATTTCCAACGATTTACGTTCTTCCACACTGCGACAGCCGACTTTTTCGTAATAAGTCGATCGAAAATTTCGCTCGTCTGCCATGTTTTTGTGTATGCACGAAAGGAGACAAAACAAAAACGCCCAGTAAGCAAAACAAAGCAACGCAATTGCAGTTGAGTGACCCACAAGGGAGTTCCTGCGAACAGCTGATCGAAAAAAGTTTATGAGATCCGTTCCCCTGTGGATGAAAGCATGGTTATATATACAGGAGGAACACTGCAGTAAATTTCTGCAAAATTTAAAAATAACGGCACCCGATAGACCTGTGCACGGGTGAACTTTAGTTCATCTACTGAAATTTTTTTGACACAACAGCGGGGCCCTGTTTACTAAAAATGAACACATGAATAATGCTCGCGTAACATATGAAAAAGGCCTATCAACTTTTGTAAATAATTTGCTAGGTTCTTTTCACGAGAACCGAAGTACGCCCACGCAAACCAAGATCACTATCGGGAAGGGGAGAATTTCCTCTGCCCGATGGTGTTGTTAGTTTGCGTGAGCGTATTCGGTTCGCGCGAAATAGGCTTAACAAGTTTTGTGTACATAAGTTGATAGACCCGTTTCAAATGTTACGTGAGTATTATTCATGTGTTCATTTTTAGTAAACAGGGCCCCGCTGTTGTGTCACTTTTTGTCGAGTGAGTGAACTCAAATCCATCCGTGCACTCGTCTATAACCGGATGACCAATGCACGAAATGAACTCACGAAAAAAAATTGACGTTTGGGCGGTGCCGGTGCATGCCCGCATAAACAATAACCATAAGAAGCGCCAAACCACCAATTCGGGTTATAATCCCAACTTTATGTGGTATGGTCGTACACACAAAAAAAATCGTTGCTAAAATTTAAAAAAAACCATTGTTATAATTAAAAGTTTGCATTGATTCTTTTTGGTAGAAAGCAGTTAGCTTTCAAAACAAAAGTCAATAAACTGTCAATTCAGGGCCAACATTTCAAAGGGGCGTAATTGCTTTTGTAAACAATTACTTTAACCGTCAATTTCTCGCGAATGAAATCTTACCTCTACAAAATTACATTGCTTGCTGATAGAGGAAACATTCCTCTACCTGCTGGTGTCATTATTTTTCATGAGTGAGCTTTTATTCGCGAGAAATCGACGACTAAAGCCATTGTTTACAAATGCAATTACGCCCCTTTGAAATGTTGGCACTGAATTCAAAAAAATTTCGGCCATTAATTTTAAAAGTTTAAACTTTCAAAACGAATTGTACCAACAATCAATACGAAACTAACGATTTTAAATTGGCTCACCACTTTAGTAGCCTATTGGTCCCAAGCAAACGATTAACGTACCCTATTCTAGTTGAAATTCTATCACTACACTATGTTTGTTTTGATTCGCTATGAAAGTTTGACAGATAACATCAGGGGTGTGTGATTCATGCAGAACATGCAGGGGTGAGTGAAATAGCTTGGGACTGCTTGGGACCGTTGTTCTGGTACTGAGTGAGCCAAAAATAATAATGATTTTCTTCGGGACCCAGTGGTCTTAGAGTTACCTCTATGATTGTAAAATAGCCGTTCGCTAATTGGGGCACGACTGCACCCCAATTATCGAATGGCATTCGCTAATTGGGGGGTGTCGACAAGTGTCAAAGTTGACCGGGGGGCGCTTGACTCGTTTGTTTTGGTTTTCAGTCTTTCGTCTGCTTAACTGATGCTGTGAGCAGCTACTTAGTTTTTGTCTTGCGTGAGTGATCCACACCGTTTTGTACAGAGCTGCTGCACCGATCATCTCCAACAGTCAGCACGGCTTTATGAAGCATCGTTCAACAACATCGAACTTAATGTGTTATGTATCAGCGATATCCCGTAGCTTAGAATCGAAGCAACAAGTGGATTCGGTTTATGTTGATTTTGCGAAAGCGTTTGATACAGTACCGCACAATCTCATCGCTGCCAAAATGAACCACATTGGATTTCCGACATGGATCACTGAATGGCTCTACTCATACCTGTCTAATCGCAATGCTTTCGTGATGGTGAATTCCGCACGCTCCAGGACTTTCAACATACCATCTGGCGTGCCACAAGGCAGTGTTCTCGGTCCTCTTATTTTTATCATTTATGTTAATGACCTGTGTGACATGCTCTCATCATCCAAACTTTCTTTTGCCGATGATCTAAAATTTTTCCGTGTGATTGTTTCTCCCACTGACTGTATCGCGTTGCAAGAAGATATACATCGTGTGATAGTCTGGTGCGGTGACAACGGCATGCGCGTAAACAGCAAAAAGTGCAAAATAATATCCTTCACTCGCTGCAACAACGTTATTCACCATCAATATTACATGGGGCCGGATTCTCTAGAACGTGCAATTTCAATCTGTGATCTAGGCATTACGATCGATTCGAAGCTAAGGTTTAACGAACACATAAACATCGTAACTGCTAAAGCATATACTGTGCTTGGTTTTATTCGTCGTCATGCTTCTGGCTTCACCGATGTTTATTGTCTCAAGACGCTATTCTGCTCGCTGGTTCGCAGCATTTTAGAATATGCTTCCCCGGTTTGGTCTCCATTTTACGTTACGCATATCCTTGCGGTTGAAAGGATTCAGAAAAGTTTTATAAGGTTTGCATTGCGTCAGCTCCCCTGGAATGATCCAGTCAATCTTCCAAGTTATCCCGACCGATGCAAGCTGATTGATTTGGAATCCCTCTCTGCCAGGCGTCTCAAATTGCAACGACTGTTTATATTTGACCTCATAACAGGAAACGTGGACTGTCCTGAACTTCTGGAACTGATTCCATGGAATACTCCTCCTCGACGATTCCGTAATTCCCCGTTACTTGCAATTCCATTTCACAGAACGAACTTTGGATTCAATAATTGTTTTAATTCTTGTTTGCGTTCCTTTAATGATGTTTGTAGCGAGTTTGATTTTATTTTGACCAAACATGTGTTTAGTGCTAGAATAAGGCGTTTAGATTAAATTAGGTTTTAAGTAATGAGTCTGTACGACGTAGTCGAAGATGGTGATCAAATAAATAAATAAATAAATTGAGTGAATCGATTGAATATTTTGTTGAGTTATTTCCGGCGCTGGTAAATATTTGTGCATTCATACGTTGTTTGTAATGTTGTAGCAATTATCCTCCTGAAATTTGTTCAGCTTTCACAATGGAAGGAGTATCAGCTTCCAGTTCCGGAGTGGATAATAAGCAAGTCGTGAAACGGAAGCACACTACGCTTACCTTGGCTCAGAAGGTGAGAATAATCGAGGAATTTGAAGCAGGAAACGGTTCCCACGAAATATTAGGCAAAAGGTTTGGTGTCGGAGCATCCTCGGTCGGTCGATTTTTGAAAAATAAGGAGTCAATTCGGATGAAACTAGAAAAATTCAGAGAACATGGCGTGGAAAATCGAAAAACGTTGAAGGGGCAGAATTTTCCCTTACTGGAGGAAGCGCTTTACCTATGGGTTTTGCAACAACGTGAGGCTAATATTATTGTCACATTGGATGTGATCAAGGCCAAAGCAGAACAACTGTTCCAATGCTTTCAAGATCTTGGTGTTTATCTGGATCTTACTTTTTTGATTTCGGATGGCTGGGTGCGCCGTTTTAAACAGCGTTTCGGATTACGTGTTTTGGTGGTGGCAGGAGAGAAAGCTTCCGCGGATAAAGAAGCGTACCTTAAATTCAAGGAAGTGCTCATGAAGAAAGTATTGGAAATGAATGTGACAAAAGCCCAAATTTTTAATGTAGATGAATCAGCACTTTTTACCAAGCTGATGGCATCACGCACTATCGCATTATGGGACGAGACAGTCGCTTCGGGACGAAAGCTCAACAAAACCCGATTCACATTCATGCCGTGCTCGAACATGGATGGTTCTCTCAAAATGAAACTGATGTTCATTGGGGTAGCCGAGAACCCCCGTGGATTTCCTCGCGGCTTTCAGCAATCATTACCGGTATCCTACTACAATTCCAAAAAAGCTTGGATGACACGTCAGTTGTTCCGTACCTGGTTTTATGACGAGTTCATTCCCGCTGTCCGGAAGTTCTCTGCTGAGCACGATTTGGAACCGTCAGCGCTTTTGGTTCTGGATAACTGTACTGCTCACTACGATGGATGCGATGATTTGAAGAGTGATGATGGATTAATTCAAGTGATGTACCTTCCACCAAATGTGACAGCAGAATGCCAGCCGATGGATCAGTCGGTGATCAACGCAATCAAAACCAGGTACAAACGGAAGCTGATGCTTAAGCTTGTTTTGGAAAACGAAGATTTGCCCTTGGAACAACGACTGAAAAATGTGTCCTTACGGCAGAGTATTGATTGGACGAAATCAGTCAGGTTATCATTGAAAATTCCTGGAAAAAGTTGTTCGATGAGTTTCCAGGTTGTGAATGGAGCATGTCTGAACAGGCGGAGGATCTTTTTGCTGATTTCAAGTCCCTTGTAGCATCAATTGATGGCATAGCCGGAACAAACACAACCGACGAGCAAATCCAGCTTTGGCTTGAGGATCGAGTAGTAGATTCCAATGGTACAACAGTTTCAATAACCAGCGAAGTGCACAGCAAAAAAAGTTGTTGAATATTACATCGAAACTGCTGCAACCAGGTCAATCCATCGGTTGTGTAAAATCACATTGTACGATGTACATCGATTTTGCGAACAAAATTACATCCATTGATGTAATATTGTATCTGCGTTTTGCTATTACATGATTATTTCATGCATCAGCTTGAATTACGTTGATCGATATTACATTTTTTTTTTTGCTGTGTGTTCAGGGACGAAGAAATAGTCAGCGCAGTTTTGAATAAAGCAGACGATTTAACTTTCACGGAGGAAGAATGGTTGGATACCACCCCGGAGGCTTTGAACGGAAGTGCCCTTGCTACTGAAAACGAAGAACCCGAAGACATCGATTTTCCAACCGCGATGAAGTCGCTTGATAACGTGATTCAATTCGTACAGAACAATCCCGCTCAGACTTTGAAACTGAAAACCCTGCGAACTGAATTGCTGGAAGCAGAGTGGAAGAGACGCAATCTGTAACTGTTTTGTTTTAATTTGCTTGTTTTATGAATTAAATTGATTTTTTACAAAAAATATTTTATTTTTCGTTATTTTTTATCAATCATTGAAAGACCCCCCAAAAATATGACATCAAAACGTCAGCATGATTTTGACATCAGATTTTGACGGATGACTGCTTTTTAATTGGGTCGCGCCCCAATTAGCGAACCCCCAATTAAAAAGCGCCCCAACCAGAAAACCCCCAATTAGCGAACTTCCACCTACTGTTGAAAGAAAAATATATTTTTTTTTTCTATTTCTAATCAAACTTTTAAAATGGCATGTGGTATTTTCTAGAGTCGGTGTTAAATGAGTCACGCCAAGAGTGAAGCCAAGTCTACCTATTGAACCGACAAACCGGCTACCTATCGGGCAAAGACAACAAACATTACGATGCTATGAAAGGTCCACGAAAGGTATTGCAATAAAATATAATCGAAGAAATGAGCACACACGCAGTGCGCATTAAACTGTCATGTGAAACGTTCGGTACAGCCGCATTTTTTTTTCTCTCGCTAGAAGTCATTTGAAGTTGTTGTAGAAGTCCTCTGTTGCCAAATGAAAAGAATGGGAATCTTTCGAAAACCGTGATGCGAGTTCAACTGTTTTTCTCTTGGCGCGACTCATTATACACCGACTCTAGTATTTTCAATCGTAAAATTAAATATTTTCAGTTAACAACCATTATTTTCAATTTAATCACGTCGCTTCACATTTTAAATTCTAATATGTGTTTTTATTTGGTTAATACATAGATCCAGACATATTTTTATCACTTGACATAAATAACAATAACAATAAATCATTATGACTACCCGATTTTCAAAGACGTCGTGGCGGTGGGTGGCTTCCTTCCGGACATCAGCCACTGATTTAGCAAATGGGGAACTATTTTATTTTATAACCACTGAAAATTACAAACAAGTTTGAACAACTCTTGAGGTTTTGTCCTGGATAATATAATGCATAATTACCTGGATACTAGATGAATTCAATCCGTTGAGTCAAGTTTGTCCAAATCTGGTGCTCTGAACTATGATGAAGTCCAACATTGGCCCTGCGAAACATCTTCAAGAATGTCGGAAGCTGAAAGCGATAATCTGCATCCCGGTTAGCTTTCCGGTTCCGGTTCTGCAAAATTAAAATTAATGAAAACTATATATGGATTATTCTCAAAAATTCTCACCTTAATGAATTTCTGCCTGGTAAATCCGGTGGAAGCTGGGGTGGAAGCGAAGTGAGTGAAGTGTAAACTCCATTCAATTGGAAGCTGTTTCACCTTGTTTTGTGTCACTCGTCAAATTTAGCGCCAAACTGAAGTAAAGTGCTGCCAAAAACATCGCAATAAAGAGGTATTTTTGACAGTTCAACAACTTTTATTTCAAAAAATCACTTTTAAAATTACGAGTCGAAAAGTAAAAGAAGCACTTTTAAATAAAAAACAAATAACTTTCGTTTTGAATATCTTCAATATTAAAACCGAGGAGGACGACTCTATCTACGATGGAGGAAAAAAATGTGTTTTGCGGTGGTTAGCTGCGCGCACGCTGAGTAGATAGAAAGAAGATTGATGACGATTCTGAAGATTTCCTGCAAAAAGATGATGCGTGATGCAAATCGATGCGACAGATGAAAGAAGATTTTTCGAAGATTGATTCGCTAGTGTGAGATTTGTTGAGCATCTAAACTTGAAATTTAGATGTGTTGCCCTCCTCGATTAAAACTACAGTTTTAGAACACATTGTAAACATTGCTGTTCCACACTCATAAAATTCGATACCTTTTTATTGGTGAATTTCCATGTAAAATTCCACATTATTTTCACATAAACAGAATCCACTCAGAAGTACACATGTAATTTATGAGTCAAATGAATAGTATGTGTGGTTACACATGAATTTTATGTGTACACATAAGAACTATGGGTCCGACACATCGATATCATTTGTTTATCACATTGCAAACATTCGTGTGTGGGACGCATAAAAATTAGCATTGAATTTTTACTAGTGCATACAATAATACAACATGGCTGAATCATAAATTTGACACATTAGAACACCTATATGTAGTCACCTTGTTCATCCCTTGGTCAATTATTGCGCACTTCAGTCGCAGGGTTTGTCATATACAAAAAATGCAAAAGAAAACAAAAGAAAAACATCCATCAGCATCTGTCAAACATTTCCCATCTTTTTTTTTGGTGCCACAACTGTTGTTCGCTCGTCGTCGGGTTTCCATCGTTTTTCGTCAATAATTTAGTGCAGTAAGTGCAGCTACTTTCGCGGCTAATAATCTACTGATACTTCGAAGCCAACACGCTTATCACCGCCATGGCAAGCTGGGCTAACCGCCCTCCAATCGGGGATGTTTCCTCCACCGCCGTGAATAACAATCCCTCTTCGGTTCGGAAGAAATGGAACCTTGAAGGTATGAGATTCAAGTTCAATTTACATGCACCCATCAAGGTGGGCAATGTCCAAAAATAGTTACTACTAATTTATGGATTTTAATGATCAGCATTTGAGTGCGATCTCAAAAGTTGATTATTTTTCGCTTAAAATAGCATCGATTAGCGAACCGCGGAGGATGATCTCACCGGTTGATCAAGGTGGACGTAATTAATAACCATCTGTTTGTGTTGCAGATAAAAAGTCCTTGCGGAACCTGAAATATCACTTTGCCGAAGATGGTTGTTCGGAGGTTCAGTACACGCTGGCCAAGCAGCTGCTTGAAGAGAATGCCGAAACGGAGCCGGCCCACAATCACGCCCAGGGAGTGCATTGGCTGCTGCGAGCCGCCCAGCAAGGTCATGAGCAAGCCATTGATTTGTTAAGCGACTGCTACCGCAGTGGTCGTGGAATAAACGAGGCGAACGAGGAAGATGTTAGGAGTTGTCTGGCGATGAGTCCGGGGGAGAGATCTGCCCGTAGAGCAGCTCAGGAATTGTTTGCCTCGCTTTCCAACGGTGAAGAGTACGTAACAGCCGCTCAGTTGGAAAAGCGCATGAGAGAGATTTACAAATTGGACAAAAAGAGAAAAAGAACCCGTCCGGATGGAGCCGAAACCGGGGAGGATCGCGTGGAAGCTAGTCCCGATAGGAATGGTTCCTTCAGCGGCAGTCGAATGAATAGGAGTTCCGGGCAGTTTCAACCGGTTAATCACATCTCAGAGGCGAATTTGCTGTCCGCGGCAGTCAACTATTCCAACGGTAGACTGCCGTTTGTTAGCAATGCTCTCACTCTATCGGTGCCAAATCCTCAGAGCTTGGATCACGTGCCCTGTTTCCACAGGCCATTCTTTCACCCGATAATGTTCTTCTCGCTGCTGTACCACCGACTGTTGGCCATGATTGCACCCTTTCCGGGATCAGGATTTAACGGAATTCAACTGATTTTACTACTTGTCACATACTCGCTTTTTGCCAGCGACAATCTGGTCACTCTTGTCCCCGTTGGAGCGTATTACCTGAGTCTGATCGTGATGGTTCTGTGCAGCTTCAAGATGTTGAAGTCCAAACATGACTTTATCGATTTCCGGATGTGGTCCGGACTGTTTCTCCGGTACGGCGACGAGCATCTCAATACGAACGACTCGGAAAATCAGTACCTGCGGAATAATCTCCGGCCGTACCTGTACTTTTTCGTGGCGTTCTTCACCAACGTGATGCTTCAGCCCAACATCAACGATCAATGGCTGCCGTTTTCGGAAATCACCGTTGTTTCGTTCGTTCTGACCTTCGTCACTATGCTGGCATTCATGTACACATCGCAGGATCCGTTTCCGGACTATCTGATTCTGTTCTCATTCGGCTTGAACGTTCTGGCCAAGTACCCGTACGAGATGGATTCGGTGGTGACCACGGGATGGCGGTTCCTGGATTTGAAAGTGCCAGCTTTTTCGACGTTCGTCATCGGAAATGGAATTGAGTTCTGCTTGAATTGCCGTGCGCTGCTCTACCTGATCATTCCTGCATTTCTGGCGTTCATCGGTCGCAGGAACAGCTGGAGAGGAATCTATCAGTATTTGATTCCACATTGCGTAACGCTAGCGTGGCTTCAGATCTGTATAATCGGTTCGCAATCGGCGACGATGTTTGGTTTGGTCCGTGGAGCCTTGGGCCTGTCCGGACTGCTGCTGTTCCTGCCTCTGTTTGGTATAGTGACACTTCTGATACCGGTATTCGCTACTATTGAGTGGCTTTCTCTAACTGACTCCACCGTCCGGCTGTGGTCGTCGATCAGCGCAGCCATCATTGCTATTTTAATTTCGTTCTACATGGCCGCCTCCCGGCGAACCGAGAAGTACATCACATTCCTGCAGATAGCGATATGTGTTATAGCGACCATATTTCTAACCCTCCCGCACATGATGTCCAATTTCGAAACGCTCCACGCTACGGAAGCTGGATTGTATGAATCCGGTACCGTTTCCTCGTCCGATGCCAAGAGTCCAACCATGCCACCGAACAGTCTCAGCTGGGAATCGTACTATAAATTTTGCCATCAACCTGCATGGGATCGGTTGGGGAACAAGATCAAAACGCAACTAAGATGTGCCCATCTAGATGGAACGGCCGTTCGTTGGGAGGGAAACGTGATCGATCTGGAGATTGCCAGCCGGAAGAACTTGCGCGCGGATTTCATACAAAGCTATTTGCCAAGGTTTCTAGCCGATCGGATCGCTTGTTTCTACGGCGAAAGGGTGGAACCGGAATGTGACCCCTCCGAAGACCACCAGCACTGTGAGGAGATGAAGAATTTCATGCAACAACAGACCCGCTGCCACATGGACAAATGGAATACGTAAGTCATCCCCCATCCTGCGTATATAATTATATATTCTATTTTTTCTCTTTTATTTCAGATACGAGTACGAACTCAAAGTTCGCATGCCATCGCTGGGACTGCTCTCCAAGCCCGCCGAGGTTACGCTGAAGGCGCAGCACGCCTTCGGAAACTTCACCCAGAGCCTGAACAACAGCGATCGCATTTGGTTCCTTGGAATTCTCCGGAATTTCCTGAAACCGGCATCGGTGCACACTCCTCCGGCTGGTGGTGGCGATCCTTCCGACGGAAATTTCAACGACCTGCACATGGATCTCAGCGGTGCCGGTGCCGGGGCTCGGGTCGATCGAAGCAACATGCGCCTGGGACGGAAGAATCCACTGGTCGAACTGCTCGCGATCGGTTGCATCAACTGCCAGGACCGGGATCTGACATCAATGCACGTGGCCGACGGGTTGAAGGTAAATGCACGGGTGCGCGACCTGCTGCGCGGAATCAAGTACCTGCTGAATGTGATCTTCAATCCGTTGGTGATCTTCAAATAAGAAACTGGAGAAAGTCATTCGCCTTTTCTTTTTATGTGGTCTGTCCTAATCGTGTAATGTTAAGTTTTCACGTGAGTTTAACCGATATCTGTACTGAGAGTTTCACTGATTTACATTTAGTTTTATTTATGATTAGCTAGATGACCTAGGTAGTCGTAGGAAGAGAGATTGCATTTACAAGAACGGTTGAGAGAGGAGATAATTCATGTTTAGATCATTCGACTAATGAAACTGCTGTGAACAAGTTAACACAATAGAGGAGAAAACTGTTGTTAAAGGTTACGTGATGATGCTTTCCGTCATTTGTGACTAACTTTTCTGTTCTTTTTTACCTACCTTACCACCCAGAAGATGATACATAGCTATGATAGGGTGAAAGATTTTGATTTGAATTAGGATCCAAAAATTCGCAATTTTTTTTCCCAAGTACCGATAATGTAAGCTTCCAGCTACTTCAAGCTGCAGCATAGTTTATCCATTCAACACAACTAGGCATCGAACACATTTCCTAATAGTAGATTGTTTTTCACGATTTACATGTTGTGTTTGTATTTCCCTATTTTTATAGGTATCAAAATATGCGTTTGCGATTGTTTAAATCAAGATTCAAACCACTTTAGTTTAAATCAAAATCTTGTACCCTAATAGGTTAATCAAAATGCATATAATAATAATAATGATTGTGAATGGAAGATGTCAATTATTTCACGCGGAAAGAACATTTACAATCTATATGCCACATTCTACCAGGATGTAGGGGAAAGTAGGGCAGCTTGGGCCACCTTAAGAAAATTATCACTAATGATACCAAATTCAGTGGAAAATTGGAATGATTTTCAACCAAATGGGTAGTTTCAAGGCCTTACTTACATCCTGAATACAAATGGAATATTAAAAGGTAACTTTTGAATCTCATGAAAGAAAATTTAACAAATGTTCGTTTTGAAACCGAAATAAAACCGCTGGGTCCGTGTAAATTTTCAACTGATATACATTAATTTTTAATACTTTTTTTGGAACTTTTACTCAAAATTACTAAAAAAAAACATCTACCGTGTACATTTTACCTACACTGCTAATAAAATTCACTTAATATTCACCTGAAAAAGTACGTAAATATTTTCCATCGTACTTTTCAGGTAAATATTACGTGTTTTGGAATGAAATGTTGTTTCAAGTGATTCATATGAAAATCAAGTGATTTTCACGTAAATTTTATCGGACATTCCGATGATCGTCAAATTAGCTTCACTTAAAAGTTACGTGAATTGTTTAGTAATCGTCACTGGATTTTGTAGTAATATTTATGTGAATTTGTGGTATGTTTCATGTGTTTTAATGCAGTGGTATTGCATTATATCATCCGGATTTTTTTTTAAATAAAATTTAACTTATTTGTTGAATTTTTACTTTATTATAATCAACATAAAATTGTTCTTTTTAGTAACTATCGTGAGTATCAAACCTATTCTTAAATCTATACCCAGTGCAACAGGTTGTTGTTAAGTTGATCGTTCTGCATTTGTTTGCTCCTCAATGCTCTATAATAATTGCTGCTTCTGAATAAAGTTAAAGTTGGTTATTGGTTTATTTAAAACATTAAGTTTGATCCTTACATTTACTTTCCTCCAACAACTGATGACTTCGAAAAGGACATCATGTCTCCAATAGACGTCTTTTTGTTGTAAGCACTCCTGTAGTTTGGCGATTAAGCTTGTGAGGACTGCTCAATCCGATTTTACGCTCTCAAATTATTTTGGGTATTGAAAATCAGGATTCACATATTGATATTAATCAAACTTACGCTCACAAACATTAAAAATCCCCAATCTCCTAGTAACAAAAATCACATATTTTCAACCGGCGCCATTTTGAACTAACAAATACGCAAAAACAGTTTTCACATCATGAGGTCACTTAAAATTTACGTGAACTTCACTTAAAATTTATCTGTATAACACTTGAACTCTATCAGTGAATCTAGTGGAATTCATTACCATGCCATTGATATTTATGTGCAGCATGTAATTCTTATTGGATTTCTATTTTTGAAAGGTTACATGATTTTTCAGGTGAAATTTACGATTGATTGAAAAATGTCAGCCGCCATTTTGAAAAAAAACAATATCCAAAATGGCCGAATTTTAGTAAAAATGCTTTACAATATTGCTGAATAAAAGCAAAAACAGTCTGCAGTTAGCATTTTCGTTCCGTGAGTATACTCTATATATAGGCGAATTTCCGAGCTGCGAAAAATTCCACCGGCTGAAGCGAGAATCGAACCCCCACGGGTGACGCCACTAACCGCTGCAGAGAACACTCAGTAGACAAAAGATATAAACATCGATAGAACTGGAAGTTATTTGAATTGGTATATATTCAAACTGTCTGCTCGGTAACAACAGGGAAACCAGTGTGCCGATAAGTCCGCTGGTCTGATCGCCAAGGAGTTTGTGACAGGGTTCTATTCGGTTATGTGTTCATTTTTAGTAAACAGGGCCCCGCTGTTGTGTCACTTTTTGTCGAGTGAGTGAACTCAAATCCATCCGTGCACTCGTCAATGCAACCCAACAATTAGGTACTGCATCGTGACGTCATAAATGAACTCAGTGTTAATCGGCTGAAACTTTTTGACAGTTCAGTGGTACTGTTTACAAGCACTTAGTCGTTTTTTCGAAAAAAAAAAATTCTAAAATTTCCGAATTTTAACTTGAAAATTGTCGAGGAACAGCGCATTGCAAGGATGTTGCTCGTGAACATTGCAGAAATGTGGTTTACATCTCACTGCAGCCTGAAAAATTATCGAGAAAATCCACCCAAGAAAAAATCGGCTAAGTCCACGTAAACAGTACCACTGAACTGTCATCAGATTGAGGTTAACCCCGACGGTGCAAAACCTAATAGGATGCTGCACGCTGACGTCACAAATGAACGTGATGAACCCGCATTCATCAGTTTGACATCCAGTGATGGTTTGCTTGTTAGTCGATTCAAGTGAATTTGAAGTTTAAAAAAAATAATTAAAAGATATGATATCGGACTATGTTTGTTTGAAAAATATTTCTCTCCAACAAATCTAAAAAAAACATCTACCGTGTACATTTTACCTAAAGGGTGATACGGTCAAAATTTGGTCAATATCAACTTGACGTATTTCTTTCAATTTTGCATTTAAAAAACCTGAACACCCCTCATTTTGAAGGTGTGTGTGTGTAGAATGTTGCTCCTATTTTGATTTTGGAATTCACTCTTCAGTTGTCAAAATGCCGTCCAAGCAAGAAGAGCAGCGTATCAAAATTTTGCTCGTGCATCGCGAAAATCCGAGCTACTCGCACGCAAAGTTGGCAAAATCGCTAAAAGTTGCCAAATCAACCGTTACAAATGTAATTAAAGTGTTTGGGGAACGTTTGTCGACAGCCAGGAAGTCTGGATCGGGGGGAAATCGAAAACCGGAAGCCGCTGAGACGACAAAGAGAGTTGCCGGTAGTTTCAAGCGAAACCCTAACCTCTCTCTCCGAGATGCCGCAAATAAGCTGGGTGTATCGTCTACAACCGTGCATCGAGCCAAAAAACGAGCCGGACTATCGACTTACAAGAAGGTAGTGACTCCAAATCGCGATGATAAACAAAATACGACGGCCAAAGCGCGATCCCGGAGGCTGTACACGACGATGCTGACGAAGTTTGACTGCGTGGTAATGGACGACGAAACCTACGTCAAAGCCGACTACAAGTAGCTTCCGGGACAGGAGTTTTATACGGCAAAAGGAAGGGGAAAGGTAGCAGATGTTTTCAAGCACATGAAACTGTCAAAGTTCGCAAAGAAATATCTGGTTTGGCAAGCCATCTGTACCTGTGGCTTGAAAAGCAGCATTTTCATAGCTTCCGGGACTGTCAACCAAGAAATTTACGTGAAAGAGTGTTTGATAAACGTCTGCTGCCTTTCCTGAAGAAACACGGTTGTTCCGTACTGTTTTGGCCGGATTTGGCATCTTGCCATTACGGTAAAAAGGCCATGGAGTGGTACGCCGCCAACAACGTGCAGGTGGTTCCCAAGGACAAGAACCCTCCCAACACGCCAGAGCTCCGCCCAATTGAGAAATACTGGGCTATTGTCAAGCGGAACCTAAAGAAGACCAAAAAAACTGCTAAGGGCGAGCAGCAGTTCAAGGCAAACTGGCTTTCTGCGGCGAAGAAGGTGGACAAGGTGGCTGTACAAAATCTGATGGCAGGGGTCAAGCGTAAGGCCCGGCAATTCGGATTTGGAAAAGCGGAAGCCTAACTGAATATTTTTCCTGAATTTTATACTAATTGAACTTGAAAAAGAAATTTAATTTGATTTTTTAAATAAACGATTTCACCGATTTACACGCGTTTTCCCTTGACCAAATTTTGACCGTATCACCCTTTAGAAAGACTTTATTTTTTTCTAAAACTTTGATTCAGACGTCACTTCGAACAGAAGTGTCGTTTTCGAATTTTAGTAAATATGCTTTACAATATTGCTGAATAAAAGTGAATACAGTCCGAGGGGGGCGACACATCTAAATCTCAATTCTAGATACTCAACAAATCTCACACTAGCGAATCAATCATCGAAAAATCTTCAATCATTTCTCCCATCTACTTGCATCGCACATCATCTTTTTGCAGGAAATCTTAAGAATCGTCATCAATCTTCTTTCTATCTACTCAGTGTGCATGCAGCTAACCACAGCAAAACACATTTTTTCCTGCATCGTAGATAGAGTCGCCCCCCTCGATACAGTCTGCAGTTAGCATTTCCGTTCCGTGTAGTATACTCTATATATAGGCGAATTTCCGAGCTGCGAAAAAGTAAACCGGCTGAAGCGAGAATCGAACCCCACGGGTGACGCCGGTAACCACTGCAGAGAACACCCAGCAGACAAAAGTACAAAAGATATAAACATCGATAGAACTGGAAATTATTTGAACTGGTATATATTCAAACTGTCTGCTCTGGAACATTAGGGAAGCCAATGTGCCGATAGTCCGCAGGTCTGAAATACCTTAACATTTCGTGTTTACTCACCTAACAAAACACTCTCAAAACATCAAACAAACATATATAACACTACACACATGTGTAGTTTTAGTACTATTCGGCACACTTAGGTTTCCTTTTTCTCGATACTGCAACTTTTTCTAACAAAAAATTCCACCCAGGCATAAGGGTAAATGGAAATCGTCTATTGAAATGTGAAGAATCAAAGTGACGATCAGTGCTGATAACCCAAATAATAGAACTATTCCA